GGCTGGTGTGACCAAGCACAGGAAACTTACCAGTCATCTTTACCATCCAAAACCTGGAAGCTTAGGTACGGACCGTTTTGAGTAGCGGAAGGTGTCGGAAGTAAAGAGTTTCTTTCCTCAGCGCTTATATAATTATCACAAATCTTTTTGTGTACTGTTTTCTGCAATTCAAAGTTGAAATACAGGCTTTCAAGCGGATAGCTTGATGTCAAAGAGCACCAGAAATACTTGCAATATACTTTGGCCTCTCATGTATGTCTTCGCTCAAGTTTCATGATTACTGGCAATGTCTTACGATAGCCGATCTCTTTTCACTTCTCTTCCAATATGCTTACCTTGGCGTCTTTCAGTTTACTAAATCCTTCTTCACTGAAAATTTGTTGAAGCACATATTAAAACGAGAAAAACTAGCGAAGCGGTGAGCTGTATAAGTATTGAAAACAAAACAGAAAAAAATATGGAATACAAATCTGTAGTTGCTTGGAAATGGTAAATTCTCATAAGCCGTACAGAATAAAGCGAGACAGAAAAAAAAAAACCCACAAAACTGAGCTCTTCCATGATCAGTTAATCAGAACTCGTTCTTCAAACCTTTTGGAGGTCAGATTTCCACGCCTCTTCATATCACAAAGAAACATGAATTATAACCACCAGCTAGTCTCGTTATCTGCTGTAACATGGCCCGGCTTTTGTTCCAAGACCCGAATGCATATCTACATCTCCTACGAAGTCAAATTTAAACCTCGGCCGGATATGCACCCTCAGTTGCAGTAATAAATGTTTCTATGAACTCTGTATGCCACTAATTTCCCTTCTATTAAAGAATAAGTACTCGGTTATGCACCCTTTCAATATACGACAGTAGACGAGATGTTTGCAATACTCTTCTCTAACAGGCGGATACAAATTAAGAAAATTAATAAAATCGAATCTGCTTCAGTCCTACTCTGAAAGTTGAGTAACACTGAATTCTGTTGAAGTAGGATTTAAGAGATACGGACTGATGGAAGCTGGCTTTTTATTGTCAAAAATTCTTCTTTCTCTAAAATGATCTACAAGTATAACATGTCACAAATCTGACAAATTTTGCACAACATCAATCAATTATTTACCAAGACATTTTTAAAAAAATGCAAAAAACAATCACAAATATTCCACGTGTAGATAATGAAATTTCCTTTATACAGACAGTGTTAGGGAACTAGACAGAAAAAAAAAACCTCGTTTGCATTTACGGAACAATACTTAATTCCAGATACCCGTGAGAACCTTCCATGAACGATGAATTTTCCATTCAGGTTTAACTCTTCATATTGAAAATGTTTACTTACAAAAAAAAGAACGACCGATTGCGGCCATATTGGGAAACGTACATGTAGACAACGCATACGCAACTGCACTTAGCACCAATGGATACCATACCATATATCACAATAGGCGAAAGTAAAAAAATGATAAAGAGAACTTCTTATTATAGACAAACGAAGACAACTAAACTTTGTTTAATTTCCTTGCATCAACTGCAAGGTTAAGAGTACTACTGACAATGGCAGTCAATGTTTGGCAAAGAATTTAAAACTATTTTTTCCGAGTTTTTTGTTTGCAGTTTGCGTCTATTCTTTACTACGTATCTGTGTTCATTTGCATTTTGTCTGCTCGACTCCAAGTATGAAGTTAACTACAGCGTCAGGGAATAGGTAATGTAGTTTGTTGGGGGAAGTGTAACTTTTTGTATACACTAACTTGAAACCGTCGAAGCATCTTTTAGGATTCATCAACGCAAAATGAGTTGCTGAAAAAGTTACTCAGTTGATACATCGGTTTCACTAGTACCGCTGCAAGCAGATTAATATGCAACATGCAATAACGTCCATTGTCATCACCTTGCCTCTTATTAAATATTACCGTTTAGACGTAAATGACTAATACAATGACTGCGTTCTAAATGAGCTTTCACCGTTGGATAATATTTGGACATTATAATATGTCTTAGATCGACTTGCAGGGTTTTCCAATTATTTAGACTCTTACATCATAACACAATGATTTTGTTTGTTTTTTTTTTTTTTTTTACTCAAACAAGTTTAAAATATGAATGAGCTTTGTGTATCGCTAAAATGGAAAATGCTTCGTTCTTTAAGGTGAGAGAGGCGTCACTGAACAAGTCAAGATATTCTGCTGCTTAATAATCATCTAGCGAAACAATCATTTTCAAGCGGTTCTGGAAAAGGAAAATCTCAAATTTTTACTCGAACAGACCACATTTAAAAGATATAACATTTAATTTTTCATTTTAAATCTAATGACGCTACGTAATTCTATTACTTGAAAATGGTTAAATGATGTGTATGCATACCACATCTAAGCGAAGGACAAGAGCGACTTTTATCGGATGGCAAAATTTGACACAGATAATGCCTGATTTCGAAATTCTGCGTGGTAAAAAATTGAAGGAATAAAATCCATAGCTAGTTTAACTGTTAACTTAAAAGTTCGCGCAAGCTGCGAGCAAACCTCACGGAAACTGCTCGATCAAGATACCCTAGGGCGAACTCGGGTGGTACAAAAAAATTACATTATTTGAATGATCAATTAAACGACATCATGCCATCAATTTTCAGAACTTCTAACTGTATCTTGCCACGCACGTAAAAGAACTAGTTTCGTTACGTCAATTCTTATTTATGTCGCGACCGTTCGCGATCAGGTGATGTCTCATCAATCAAAGACACTGCACATTTTCCTTTTTTAACGGCTCAAAATTCTAAGATTTACTGCGTTCAAGGAGTTATTCGTGGGTACGTTGAAGAAATATGCGCATTTTATAGGAATGCGTCATTAAAAAGGAACTCTCTATGACCGGAAATTGAAATTGAAGTTGTCCTGCAAGGCCCGCTGTGCCAGCATCTCGGCAGCATTGTTGTGCTTTCAAATCGAGCTATAAGTAACCTGGCAGTAAATATAGCTCCTTCCCTACCGCGACTTCTTCCAAACAGTGAAAACACGAACATTGTTAGAACCCAAATGTTTGAAGGAAACAGAGACGAAAATATAGAAAATAGTTTAGGGTAAGGAGATTGTTCTCAACATAACAATTTGCGTGAACGAAGAGGTTGTCTTTAAAGCGTTATATACCTTCCGTGATCTTTCAGTTCGCGGCGCTTCAGCGGGAATCCACGCTTTTGTATCAGCGTTCCAATTTGGAAAACAATTGCCCTACTTCTGGGTCAAACTGTTTTCTAACTACTTGTACTCTGAAAAGGAGAGGGATCGCTGCACCCAGGTACATGGCTCGATTCGCTTGTTTGAGGTGAACGCAAATTTCCATGTTTTAAGATTCAGAAAAATATCAACTATAGCAAAGTTCTTCATTCCACATCTTTCTTTTTGTTACTTTGTTTTAATGGTTTTTGCGATTAGCTTTAATTGAGAAAAAAAATCCTTAAGTGAAATAAAATTGTAGAACGGTCTCACAGGAATCTTCTGTTATTTAGAAAAGATTGTAAAGGCATAAAGCTAAAGTTTAGAGAGTGAAATATCATTTTTTTAAAACCAATTCGAGAATTTGAGAGGAATAAAATGTGACTAAGGGTTATGTTGTGGTTTGATATGATTCAATTTTATCATAAAAAAAGCTTTAACTTTCGCTGTGGTCACCTTCGGTGCAATGCTCCTTGCGGTGTACGAGAAGTTCAGTTGGACGGAAGAATTCTTTCAAATAGTGTTGGCACAATGTTTGGTTCAGAATAATGACACTAGGCCCTTGGGCTACAGTTCAATAAACAGAAAAGCGAGATAGTTACTGGCGAAGAGGTCGCTGGAAAAAATACTGCATTGCCACTTTTCTGCGCGGAATTTGTTTAGACCAGTTTGTCCTTTTGTTTATCAATCAGATTATTGACTCCTCACTAATGACTGCCATATGCTTGATTGATTGATTTTTTAACCATGAAATAACTTTAGAGTAGTAATGCTTAGAAGTTTGCAAAAGTTACTAGCGTAGTTTAATTTATCGCGACAGCATTCAAAGCAGTGTTTGGGAAACTTTGTCGAGTTGAAGAAGTTTCGACGGAGTTATTTACTTCGATGCGAGCCGTCGCCATCTATACAAAAAGCTGAGACACAAAACATTGCGCCAGGCTTTATGGATGGGGGACGGGTTAATTAGGAAAATTACTCTGTAGTGAGCTCAAGCATGCTGTAAATAGGCCTCCCCAATGTTGCACAACAGACGATGAAGAGAAAAGTAAACAAAAGGCAGCCTACAGTGGACAAACAATGGATTACTAACTAAATAATGAGCTCAGCGAGCTAAAAGAACACTACTGGATTCCCGCTATTATGCTATTTGTTTTAACCATTGAAGTGTGTGTAAAAACGCTCTTACGATGAATTAGCATATGAAAGCAGTTGAGTCGCGGCTCATATGTTTTCCATGCTGCGCTATTGTTTGATTCCCAAACAAATAACTCCACAGGGTTGTCAAGAAAAACTGAATTCGTTTATACTTGACCTTTTGAAACTCTCAAGACAAAACTGTTTAAGACAGTCGAATAGTCAACAAAAAGGCGAAAATGGTATCATATTTGATCGGCTTTTCCCGGTTTTTTTGGGCCATTTTATGAAGGCAGGGCAAAGTTTACCACGGCTTTGCTATGTAATCAAGGCCAAATAAAGGTTTGTAAGCTTCGTGTAAAGGTGCTAATTAAGCGAAGTAAAGCTTTACAGACTATTTCCTCCGCTAATTGCCCTAAGCAATTAAGGGACTCGCTGAAATGGGACGAAAGAGCCACAACAGTTAAATACTATTGAGTGTAACTGTGCGAGCTGATTTTCTGTGTTGACTAAACTTATTCTGTAGCCTTTGGTGTTACGCTTTTTAAAGAACAGTTTTTCCACTTAAAAGGAAACACTTCAGTTTGGAAAGGAGACCAAATAGTGGAGAATGAAACCAGGAAAATTGCTGCAACGGCATGACTATATAATTGTCTTCAGCGCGCCTCAGTAAAACATACAGGTTTTGGTATACAGTTGTTCTGTGTAGGATAATAGATAAACCCTTTCACCTGCTAAGGTATTAGCTGAGAAATATGAATTGAATAGATTATAACTTGCTGGCAAACAAATCAGATTTACATGTCCACACAATAAAACCGTGTCGTTAAATTTTAATGTGGTAATTGAATTAACAAGACACATTTCAACCATAAATATTTATCTGGTATTTGCTCACATTCACGGAGTGAGGTGTCAACGTACTGGCAAAATTTACAAATTTACACGATTTAGTTGTTGACTTAACTTGTCTCATTAATGTTTAAAACAGTGACTTTGAAATGAACTTAAACTATTTTTTTTTAAAATAGGCCAGTCTAAAACGGTACGTTTTAGACAATTAATGAGAATATTGAACAAAGTGGCTTTAGCAGTAATGCGAATTAGCGACGAATCACAGTAAATAAACTTGATTTCAGCGGGCTGTTTCTCGCAGTCCAACCGCAAATATATCATAGTTTATCGAGCGATTTTTTTTTGTTCCTCCGTTAAATTTCTATTTTGTCTTTTCTCCCAAATAAAGATTTAAATCTACGTCTACTGATTTCAATGTTCATTTGCACTCTGACAAGAAAGTGGTGCGCGAAGTGGGAGAAGCGTTTTCTTTTAAGAATGGGAAGGTAGATCTTAGCGCAGGTGAGCCAAATGGTAGTTTAGGTACTGTGCTAAACGCCGACGGGAAAACAGAGTCACTATTTGTAATGAACCTATCTGTTGAAAAAGGGGAAGATGGTCTTGAACATGGCCACTGTGGTTCCATTGTGGGACCTGCATGGTTGACGGGGAAAAGGCCACTTTGAGGGAAAGGCGGCTGCAGAATGCCAAACCCGTGGCAGCGGCCTGAGAGAGTCATCTCTGATGATGAAGGAAAAAGGCATCGAACACCAGGAGATGGGTGTGGAAGAACTGGCGTTGGATGAGGGAGTGACGAGTTACAGTTCATTGTGCAGGACATTCCCATTAGATCGTGTTTTCTCATATGCGGAGACAAAGGCGCTGAGAATATAGAAGGTGGATAGGGCCAAAAACTTGAGCAGAAACCAACTTGAGAAAGGTCCAAAGGGTAACTTGGGATTGGAGAGATTCTCTGTTGCCGTTTTAGCGCTATACGGTTTCTGGACGAGGGAGGATTCCGTCGTTTAAGCTTCCCTGTCGTCCCTCCGATGACCACATCGTCTGCACTGGGATCTAACATCCAGTAATTTCCTTTGCCGGGGTCGTCGTAGTGTCGAGGAATCTTCACGAAACATTTGTTGAGGGAGAGGTTGTGTCTGATGGAGTTTTGCCAACCTTGCTTATTATTACGATAGTAAGGAAAATTCTGCGAAAAAAAAACAAAACAAAACAAAAAACAAAGAACAAAAAATGGATAATCAAGTTAGTCCGTAAGGCCAGATGTCAATTCGCAAATTAGTCATGCTATTGATTAGCTGGTTTCAAGTTTTCCTTTGCAGTAAACGTAACAAATAAACAATGTTATAAGAACCTAATTCACTTACGTTTCTTTCCGATCGCTTTTTTGATGAAACTGAAATACGACTAGGTGTTTTTTCTTTTTTTTAGCCAATTTTGAGTCTGATATGCCTCACATCTAAACTGACTAACAAGTGTCCGTTGTGTGAATAGGTAGAAATCACTAATATTACAAGTTTAAAGGGTGGAAAAGCTAAACTTATTCGTGAAGTACAGACTGCACGTTGTATACTGACCTTCATAATGAAATCGTAAATGCCACTTAGAGTAAGCCTTTTCTCCGGTGACCCGCGAATGGCCATCATTATTAGAGCGTTGTATGAAAATGGCGGCTTCTCAAACTTTTTCTCTTCTCCGTCTTTGCCTTCGCTTTTTCCTGTTTCCTCATCTGTTTTGGAGTTTTCAAACTCTTTCTCGTCTTCGCTGATCCTCTCCTGGCTAGTCAGTGCATGACCATCCTGGTTTCCCGACACTTTCTCGTCCGAAGTTGTTATCGTTTCTTGAGAGACCATCTCCTGATAATCTAGTTCAGCGTGATCTTTCATGTCCACAGTGCAGTGCAGCGTCTGTCTTATTTGAAACGAAACTGTGTACAAATGTTAACAATTCAACGAGACCTGGTTGTCACAATGTTTACACGACAGCACACGGTACGACGAGTGGCAGCTTCTTAACTGACGGCGTTAATTTGTTGTCAGTATTTTTGACCCAATGTTAACACACCACCGTAATTGATACGGTGGTGTACCATTTTTTATACGCGAGCCAATCAAAACGCCAGGTTACAAACAAAGTGCAGTGACATAAAAGAGACATCAGGGTCGATGATGCGGTCACTTATTGTGTTTAGTGTTTGTGTTAATAATCTACGTTTTATTGTTTGCTTCAAAGAGGTGCTAAATTCGCAACCAATAACTTCGCCCAAGAGTCCATTTTGGCTCCGCCTTTTTAACGAAACTACACGCGGGGGACACGATCAAACAATGTAATGAATAGCACAAGTAACCCATACTGTCTTCAAAAGAACTATAATTCGTGATTAGTAAGGAGTTAGGTCTTTGTTCTTTGCAGTTCATTTTGAATATCTTAGATCATGGTTGTTAAATGTATTTCCTGCCTCACTGCTGGTGGCGTCTGTAAAACGCTCGGTCGTGGTCCATTTTTCCTTCGGGGCATGGCTGATTTCTTCTCAGTCGAAAGTCGTGTGAGATGCCAAGCAGAACCGAAATGTCTTCTAATCTGCAGAGCTCTTCCCTAAATAAAAGGAAGATGACTTTGTGTACGAAATAATGGCCTGTAAATGGCGCAGGCAAACAAACAAACAAACATGAGTGCTTCGAATGTGGTGGTTTTGCAATAATAAAAATCAATGATAGCTTCAGTTTTAATACTTCACCAGACATTTTTTAAACGCTATGGATGAGATTAAGATTCGATATTAAGCCATCCTTATAATGAACTGCCTTTGACTAGTTTAGCTAGTTTTTTTGTTCTTTACCATTGTCCTAACGAACGAATGGGATGGTAGTAACCAAAAAGTTAATTTGATCTTTGTAACGTGGCAAGAACTGAGTTTAAATGACTAAAACTCGTAAAACTCGGTGTAGAAAATCAATACTCCTTAAAATTTGATTGTAGTTATGAAGAAATCCCTATATCGAACTTTAAGCTAAGAACATCCGGAGCCGGCTTTGTTTTCAAGACTGAAGACAAGATACATGCTACAGTCACGAATGGCGTGATGCACGCAGGAGCGACTCTTTTGTTCCAAGTAGCCATTGTTCAGTTAAATATACTAGCTCCATGTGCTTCGCGAGATGGCCACTTCTTTTGGGTTGCAAAGATTTCCAACTGGGGACTGCTGATCGCAACTACATGAAAACCCGGGGGATAAAGGTGAAGCGAGCGTGGGAAAAATTCCAAATTCACGACACCGAAATCACAGTGTATAAAGTTAATTATAGGTATGTCTCTGTTTGATACTAGAAAATTAATTCTCTGGTCCAGAGTGAAAGAGACAAACAGGGCACTCATATTCAAGAAAACAAAGGGAAAAAAAGTTCAAAATATAGTCCAGACTTGACTTTCATGTTTGTTGTTCTTTTATTGTAATTTAGTTGTTTTCTGCAACTGGGCAAAATTGTTCAACTGTTATGAAGAAAATAGCTGAAAAATCATATTTCAGAAGGAGCATGTGGTTTCCTGATTTCAAACGGATCACAATCTTCGCAAGAAATCTAGGAAATCCTTTGTTTTCCTCATAATTTCTTATTCAACTTGTCAAAATTAAATGCTGGTGACCAGTAATGCTTATAAAAAAAATTACAGAGACCCAGTGCAGAAAGAATTAAAAGATCTATTCTTGTGGGAATTAATAGATGGAATAACGTATGTATAGAAAACACATTGTAAACTTTATGGTAAATTTACGACTTTACTTTAGGTCGGATTAAGAGATCAGACGCCACCATAACTAAACTACTTAAAGCTCTTCATAAAGTTTTAAAAAGGTCCAGCATTTAACCGTTTTTAGTGAATTTATAGGACAAAAATGTCTTCACATAACGCTGAGGTAATTTATCCTTAAAAAAAATTTAAATCTTATATCAAAATGGGCCAGCAATGAGCTGTTGAACGACAAACTCGCCCGAGCAAGTTCGGCGACAACGCCCTTGGCACCCAAACATTTTCATCCATGTTGTCAAAACACGGAACTTGACAAACTGACGGGATCTTATGCTCAATAAAAGGTGAAATAAAGAAACACCGCAAATGACAAAAGCAGCAGACCCCCACATAACACAGCTTGGTGTTACAGCAAAGAAAAGTTTACCACTATGGTACGCAGTAGGAGCCGCGGAAGGGAACACACGGTGCTGTGATCAACAGCTGTTGATGATCCTTTGCAATACTCAATCTTTGATAAAATATCTACTTTGGTCACGAACAATATTATTTGGCCATTACTCAGCGATTAAAGAACCAAATTGTGGCAGAACAAGCTCAATTGAGTTGCACTAGGTAGAAACTAAACGATAATCGACTTTTAAATTGCAAGAACCAATATTAAACAATCCCATCTGTCTTCGCGCGATTGCGAGTCCTGGGCTCCTCTGTCAGCTTGAGTAAATACCCCTATGAATACGTGTTGTTTGAAATACTCTACGGGCGAATTCATAGTGACGTCAATGTTTACATTTTGTTCTTAAACATGCCATTTTGGTTTTGAAAACGTTCCGTTAGACGCGAATTTTACTGATTCCTAAGTCTGGGGAACATACTAGCGTAGGCTATCAGAAAAAGTTTAAACTCTTTCCAAGCAATATTCTTGAGATTTTCGCCATCAAAAACTGCATTTCTGGTAGAACTTCAGTAATGAACCTACAATGCACTCCTTGAACATGAACTAATATTTAAAGTATCATGTCTTTGAAGGTATGCGGCGCTATTTTGAGCTCATCATTTTAAGCAAAGTCTGCTACACTATTTTAGCATTCAGACTACTTCAGGTTATATTTTAGCCAAGGAATGATAAAATGGCAAAACAACTATTGTAAACAGCTGATTACGAGATTTGACGAGATAAATTCGAGTTAAACTCTTATAAACGATTCTTAAGATTTACTCATCTAGAGTTACCAGAAGCCACCAAATCATTCTGGCTGTTAACACTTGCTCTGAACAATTTAACTCTAGAAACTCTTGGAGAACTCTCCAGTTGCAGCGAGAAGAAGGGAATGAATTTAGAACGGCTGTGAGGGTGAGGCATGGGTCTAAAATAAAATAGTTAATTCGGTACTAACACTTTTGAATCAGAATTCAGTGAAAAGTCAGCGTTGACACATTGTCTTATTTCTAGTCGCTGTATTTAGGGAAAGCTGCTATACTCCCTGTCTGTGATGTGAGTTTATTAAAGCGTGCAGTTTACATCAGAGTGAGGGATAAGCAGTTAACACAAACACACGCCAAAGTACAATGGATGTGTCCGGTTAAGAGAGGGTTTAAAAGGGTCGTCATACCAAACAACACTTCGAAATGTGAGGGTCGACTGGCTCAGATTTTGACGGGAAGGCCTCAGACAGAATGAGCCTAAGAATGTTAGCGACAGATCATGAGCAGAAGAGAGAATGAAAGTGAATCTACGTATGATGCACGATCCTTGCAGTAGAGAGCGCTATTTATGCAATAGCGAAAATCAGACCTGAAAAAAAAATCAGGCCTGTACGGGATTCGAACCACTGACCTCTGCGATACTAGTGCAGCGCTCTACCAATTGAGTTAACAAGCCAACTGGGAGCAGGCCGTTAAGTTGATTCGTGTAAGTCATTTCAATAAACCCACGATGACAAATCATACGTATCTATAACCGCAGTTCAAAATATATGAACTTCATATATTCATTGTATCTGATTTATCATCACGGGTTTATTACGAATCAACTTAACGGCTTGCTCCCAGTTGGCTTGTTAGCTCAATTGGTAGAGCGCTGCACTAATATCGCAGAGGTCAGTGGTTCGAATCCCGTACAGGCCTGATTTTTTTTTTCAGGTCTGATTTTCGCTATTGCATAAATAGCGCTCTCTACTGCGAGGATCTTGCATCATACGTATCTATAACCGCAGTTCAAAATATATGAACTTCATATATTCTTCGTATCTGAAAGTGAATCTGTAATCGTAGACCTTGTGATATCTCTCATCAAGTTATCATTAGATTGTGTGTCTATAAAATCATCAGTGTGCATCTTTGTAATCGTGAGTTCCAGCTTCAGTTCTATGTAGCTACAAAACACGCTTTGAGATCTTAAAAAAAAAAAGGTTATTCGTTGGTTGGTAATGAAGTCAGTTATAATAGTGAGATGCTCGAGTATTGACAAGCTAAAAAAATCGATTGATACATTTTATAATCACGTGTCGGAAATAATCCGGCATTGCTTTAGTTCGTTCTTTGATTGGCTCAGATATATCGCGCCAACTTATTATGACGAGTTCAGATTGACTGATACAGAATGATTGCTGTGAGTGAAATTCTCGTTATTTTGTTCATTAAATCAGATTCGATTGTTAATTTGCATTTGGTTCACTATGCAAATCATGAATGACCTTGACCCCGCGCACGTGCCTGTCTTGAGTCCATGGGCATATTGGGAGATGGAACAAGTTGTAATTAGGTTTTTGAGACAACTTCTTCTTCAAAACATTAGTCTAACTACATGATTTTTCTAAATCACAAGTGCAAATGAACGGGAAATTGGCTGCATCAGTCTAGGATATAGCTGTGGCCAAATTTCAACTTCGAAGACAAGACTAAAAGCGAAAAGGTCCTTTATTAAAGCACATTTTCTAAGGATCACCTTCTTGGTTAGCTGTGTTTTAACCCTTAGCTCAGCTCAAAGCCTCCTGCAAAGCGTGAGGTTACTCACATTTTCTCTTTAACCCTTTCACACCCCATATCTCGATGAAAATTCTCCTATATGTCCGTCATACATTTATTATAAAGTTTGTTTTGAGAATTGGTGTTGAATCCATGAAATGACGATCTCTCAGTTAACAGAATTTTCTTTTTTGGTTTCCTCAGCATGCACTTGTCTGCTTGATATAACAAAGTTTCTTGGAGTTCTTCAAGGTTGATCAGAGCATCTCTCGTGGAAGCAACATATTTCCCACATTACTAAAAAGATATCGAAAACTATTGGAATAATAAGTAAATCTTGTTTTTTTTTCTTTCTTTCTTTCTTCAAAATCTTTACTAACCTTATAGCATACTCCAGTGTATCCTTATCTCAGCCATCGTAATATCGTACGGTCCTCAACTTATCCTTCTTATTTAAAGAGGATTTTCCTCCTGCAGAAACTTATAGTCAGAATTATGAGTGGAGCCGAATACCTAGCTCACACTACGCCCTTGTTCTACAATCTTAATATCCTTGATATTTATAACATTAGCTTTCCTTGTAACTTGTTTCATGTATTCCCATCATAATAACCTCTTTCCTAATGCTTTTGATAATCTTTTTTCTACTCATCATCAAATTCTTACGTACGATACACGGAATAATAGCAATTAGTATATACTAAAACAGTGGATAGCGTTGAGGGCGCGCTCTGATTGGCTAGTCAAACTCCGAATATCCTTTGCTATTTACCTCCGAGCAACTCGAGAAAAAATGGCGTCCCGGTTTGCATCCGTGTCAAGCGAAGAAATCACTCAAATTAACGACGGTGGTGTATATTATCTCACTGTTTTAGTATATACTAAAACAACTATTCACCTCAGTGTCGGTGGTTAGCGGTGGATACTGACCTCGCCGCTTCGCGGCTCGGTGAATATCCACCACTAACCACCTCCACTTCGGTGAATAGTTGTTAACTATCGTCCACATTGTTGCAGAATTAACACCAAGCAGTTTATGGTCTTGCACCAAGGTCCAAGGGTTTGGAATTCCCTACCTCGTGATCTTATCCTATCCCACAGATTCTCCATCTTTAAGACTTCGCTTAAAAATTTCCTCATTGACAGAGAACTAAATTAAACTCGCCCGTCCGTGGTTAGCAAATCTATCCTCTGCATCGTGTGAGGAACCCAGGTTAGATAAGCTTCTTGTTACGTCGCAAAATGTTGTACTAACGCAAATTAGTATAACGAGCAAAGAGTTTTCAGCAATCTGATTGGTCGAGCGGCTCCTTATATGACGCTATATAAACCGCTCCACGCGGTTTCTATAAAATGTTGAAATAAAATGTTAATAAATGTTACTAAAATGTTATGATTTTAAAAATTTCTCTGTTGTTCAGCTCTGAAATTATACTAAAACAGTTATTCGCCTCAGGTTCGGTGGATATTGTCGAATAATCCCCTCGACTTCGTCTCGGGGACTATGTTAAATATAATAACAATTACTGCAAAATGTAATACTCACACAAAATGTAATAATATCGACGCAAAATGTAATAACTTTTCTAACGCAGTATGTAATAACTACTTTTAAGGGTAGTCGAAAAACACAAACTGTGGCACAAGTAGATGAGAAATCTACGACAAACTGCGCAAGTCATGTGTATTCAAGTAGATTCTCGATGAATTTGGATGGTCATTCTTTTATTTGCTGGGAAATAAAAAAATATTATAAGGAGAAATTATGTCGTGGTCACTTGTAGGGGTTTAAGGGTAAAAACCTGCGATAAGAATACTGGTACAAGGGAGGATAGACGATTGGTTTGAGTTTTTTTACGTATTTTGCGTCTGTGTGGAAAAAAAGGTTAAACAGCAACGAAGAACCAAGGACAAAAAAAAAATTACAAGTACAAGTCAACACAAAACTGTTCCTTGAGGGGGGTGGAGTATTTCCATCCGTGTTTCTCAGCAATACCAAAAAGCTCCTAATCCGTGCGGAAGTCCATGTTTTCAGAACCACAACTCAGCTTTCCCTTAAATTTGTGACTCACCTGGGCGAAGTAGGAATACTTAGTTTGAACCAGACACAATATAACTCCCGTGTCGGTTGTTAGAGATTGTTGCTCGAAGCAGGACTGCAGCGCGTATTCCACATCCAAGTAATAAATGCTGTGGTAAAAATGAATGAACTGAAAACGATTCTTTCCAGTGGATCCTTCGTGGAATTCACGGTATGTTTTCTGATGCCATTCAAACGAGACACTCTCGGTAATCTGTTGTAACAATGGCGGCAATGGAGAAACCTTTGCCTTGAATTTGATCGAGGAGGGAGGAACTCGGGTCGACGATAACATTCTGAAATGTGGGCTTCTTGACTTTTTCTACGCAAGACACAACGGAAAAGCTTTTTAGGATTAGTTAATGTACATTTATTTTTTACTCCATGGCTCACAGGTTTCGGTTTTCGCCCTGTGCTGCCTGATTAGAATGTAGCATTCAGTTGATTTCTCTGCGATAATAATAACAATAATAATAATAATAGTAGCTTACACCAACAAAGCTGTATACAGCGAGGAAAGTGAGAACAACACAGGTCAATGATGTTAAGTGTAGGATGTGTAACAAAGCACCCGAGAGTCTTCCCCATGTGCTGGCCGGCTGCCCGGCTCTCGCCCAAAACAAGTACTTGTCGAGACACGATGCGGCCCTCAAGGTCTTGTTTTTCGAGAAGCTGAGGGATTTGGAACTGATAGATACGGTCCCCCCCCGTACTCGTCCGTAGACCCTAAACCAGTCTATGAGTCCCAGGAGGCCAAGGCCTTCTGGGATGTTCCAGTGTATGCGGAGCACAGTTTTGTGAAGCAGAACAGAGTAGATGCGCGTTTCACTGACGTCAAGAAGAATGAGGTGTTAGCTGTGGAGATGTCGTGCCCGTGGATGGACAACCGGGTGACGAAGACCGAGGAGAAGACTGTAAAGTATGGTCCTTTGAGGTGGGAGATGGCTCAGCAGTATCCAGGATACACCTTCAAACAACATAATATCGTCATTGATGTCCTGGGCGCATGGTCGAGAGATGTGGACGTGTCTATGATAGAGCTACTCGGAGGCCTGGGGAGAGGGGATCCTAAGAAAAATGCAGAAAGCTATCCTTTCGAACACCTTGAACATTTCAAGAACTTTTAAAATTATCACTAGATAGCTAAGGAGCTCACTTATATGACTTTTAGAGATTTTTCGTACCAAAGTTCTTGTATTTATCAGGTTATTAGAGATATATATTTTATTATTATTATTTATTTATTTACGTTTTCAAAGTTTCGGAAGATTCTATTCCTACGCGCAGCCTGGGTTATGTTTATCGCCCCAGTCCCCAGTGTGTGTACGATCTTATGGCAAACACAAGTTTTACAACTGTCGGATAATTTGTATAGCGCAAATTCCATACAATGTTCAAATCCGCTTCACAATAAAATTACAGCAATAATTAATACAACTATTAAAATAAAATAAAATAAATACTAGAACTACATACCAATACTAATGTTATACTAATACTGCTATAATATCGTGTTCAGGCTAAGATAAAATTGCTAAACGAAAAAGGTGTGTTTTTAACTTTGACTTAAAAATGTCCAATGACTTACAGTTTCTAACTTCGAATGGTAATGCATTCCTGAGTTTAGGTGGTGCGCAAGTAAACGACCTGTCACCAAGTGTCACTTTACATTTAAATTCGGGTTGCTTAAGCAAGAGGGTCTCACAAGAGCTTCTCAGGTTATAGCATGACTGTGACTTTAGAGAAATCAATGAATCCAAGTAAGTGGGAGCTGTGCTATGCAAGATCTTGAAAGTTAACAGAAGAATCTTGAATACAATTCTAGACCGAATCGGCAACCAATGCAACTTGATTAGAAGAGGTGTTATGTGACAATAAACACACATGGCAAATATCATTCTAGCACAGGCATTCTGCACACTTGTAATTTGATCATTGAGAAGTTTGGCAGACCTTACAATAAAATAAATAATTTGGATATATCAACAAAGTTGAAATGGTAAATTGGCCACCGTAACGATTACAAAAGCTGACGTTTCGAGCGTTAGCCCTTGGTTGGAGCGAATAGAGGAATTGTGGATCTTGAACAAAAGCTCATCTTTCAAACCGGCAGTCTAAATCCCACAGGGATCAACGAACGCTTTTCATTCCACTAATTTATTCGTGTTTTTCTTGTTGCTATGTTCCCACCAATAACGTAGCTCCATTTTTTGCCTTAAAAAGCACACACAACCCACAATTCCTCTATAAGCTCCGACGAAGGGCTAACGCTCGAAACGTCAGCTTTTGTAATCGTTACGGTGGCCAATTTACCATTTCAACTTTGTTGATATATCCAAATTATTTCGTTACCCCCACCGACGCAGCCCCAAACAGTTTCTTTAGAAACTATCAGCCCTTACAATAAACTGTTACAATAGTCAAGACGACTAGATATGTAAGCATGAATAAGTGACTCCGTTGACTGTTTGGAGAGATACCTCAGGATCCGACGTATGTAATACAAATAGTAGAAGGATGATTTACAAGTTTTTGAAATATGATCCGACATAGACATATTGGCATCAAATGATGAGCCAAGGTTCCTAGAGTTAGGCACAGGGTGAAAGTTGGTATTGCCCACGCGAATATGAGTGATAACTACCTTATGAAGCTGTTGCGGTGTACCGATAATAAGAAGTTCAGTCTTTTCATCATTTACTTTTAGCTTGTCATGTACCATCCAAGCAAGAAGTCATTAATGCATCTTTCCAGTAACTCCGCAGCATTAAATTGATCAAGTGTCATTTGGGCGGAATGGGATATACACCTGCGTGTCATCAGCGTAATAATGCACCGCAGGAAAATGATGATTGGATGATTGCGAGCAACATGTAAATTACGCGAGGTCATCTACGCCACTCGTACACCCAGTTAAACAACCACTTGCATACGAGTACAGCCTAGGAATTTAGTCCATATCGATCCCGTCTCCGGAAATGCTTTCTTTAGGCCACTTTTGTAGAAAAAAAAAAAAAAAGGATACAGACGAAAAGTAGGGAAAAAGGACGAAAAAGGGAAATGAAAAAAGAAATGAAACAGTGTCTAAAATCTGGCATGTTCATGACAATTTTCACGTCATTTTAAATGATGCGTTTATTTGTTGTTGTTGTTTTGCTTTGTTTTCTTTTGTTTATTCGTTTCTTTGTTTTCATATCAGGTTCAAATTCATTGCAGCACTTGACCACTGGTGTCGGCGAGTTGACCAAACGTGTCGGCGAGTTGACCAAACGTGTCGGCGCGTTCAAATGTCGGCGTAGTGACCAGTAACCGTTTTGATCAACTCGTAGATCATTACTAAAGTAAGTCTAAGATAATCAAAATATTTGCTCTTTAGTTCTCTGCGTGATGCTGTTCATCTGGGCTTCACTTTCATCGACTATCACGCGAGCTCGGATTCTCATAGTTTAGAGGTCGGAGTCGTAAGATTCAGAAGTGCATACGGTTTATAGGGTTCTGACAATTTATTACGAGAATTCCTCAAATAAGTTATACGGTGTAAAAACGATTATTGATTTATCAAATGAATATTACTGAATAGAAATATCCTTGCCGGGAACGAAATGCCACGCTAAGAAATTTTATCTGGAAAAAATTTGACTTCCTCTTCCCTCAGTCCCGGTGCAGTGCATTTACTCCCTCAATTCCTCTGGACAGTCAGGTTGCTTAGAAGGGTGGGACGCTTTGAAAGCCTCTAACTTGGACAGATCATCATTAATTCTTGATATGACTGGAAACTGGGACATGTCAACCTTAAACCTAACACCAAAAAGAGCCTTGTATAAAGAGAATATAATTCACAGGAAGCAGTTTACAGTCAAGTCACCCGAAAGTCATCTTGCCTGAAGTTATGGGGCCTGAGACCAGAGTCATGTTGCGTAGTTACAGACTGTAAGTCAGATCTTATAAGTAATGTTTTCTTCAGACGACACGACTTAAGATTTCAGGTGACATGACTAAATAAATAAATTGCCTATGTCCATCTATCCCCCATGCCGTCAAAAGATTGCCACCATCCATTTACCACCACACCCTCAAAAAATTGGCCCAGTCCATTTACCTCATCCCCTCAAAAAATAGCTGGTATCCATCCACCCACATCCCCTTAAAAATTGCTCCTATCCATCCACCCTCATCTCCTCCATAAACTGCTAGAAAGCAAGACAACAAGAAATGAAAGAAAGCAAAAAACAAGAAAGCTAGGGCAAACCTGTTTGCATTGTACACCTGAGGAACCAGGCACAAGTCTGCCATTGTTATCTGCCAAGTCGAAAAGAAAAACTGTAAATTACAGACTGAAATGCTTTGCAATTTACAGAAGGGAGCATATTTGTAATAATATTACATAAGAAAGAAACAGATTTTTTTATTGATAGTTACCTCATCTCCCACACAGTATTTCCCTGATGTCCTTTCCAAAATTTTCTCTAGATCTGTCCATCAAGATGATAAATACATTACAAATGAAGCAAATGCTACAGAATTAAGTGGGACCCATGATGCTGTTGTTATAAGCATCATGCTTAATTTAACAACTACACATTTCACCCCTACTTCAAGAAAGTTAAAATAAAGAAAGTATCTCTTGCTCACAGTTCACACCAGTGTTTTCACTTATGATCAATTGATAAGTGTAAGAAACCACTGAAAACAAAAGGCAATCAATTCGCCTTACTGTATACCATAGCCTCTTTTAGAAATATAGTGGAAAGTGACTTGTTTTAACTCACTACAAAATCCTTTGTTTATCCAATGATGTCCCCACTCTGTCTTTCTCTCATCACCAAGATACTTCAGTACAGAAAGATTCTGGATCGGTTGTATTCCACTGGCTATTGTCTGGCTCACTTGCCTTGCCTGAAAGATTTTCAGAGGAAAAAAAACCATGCATACCTGTTACACTGGATTTGATTATCTCAATCCAAATACAGCACTTTAGGAGGTGCCATGTGACCAAAAACAAAAGTAATCAGAGCCCAGATAATGGCCATGCAGAAGAAGGGAAAATACCTTTAAGGGCCCATAAGACCTCAAACTAGAACCAACCAAACTGCCTAAAATGCAAGAGAATGCTCGCAACCAAGGTGTGGTTGCATTGGTTTTAGTCTTGAATCTGATTGGTTGAAATGGCAGTCCATGCTTCCAGAACCAATCACAGAGTAATTAAAGTAAAACAAAAAACATTAAAGCAATCCCAGGTTACTTTTAATTGACACTCAAGTGAATATTGATCTAGTTTAAATCAAGTATGAGTACTTGTAATCAAGCGTCAAATCCGATGACAATATTGACAGAAGAATTTTCTATATTCTGAAAAAAAGGGGATAACATCATACCAGTGCTTTCTTGAACGGGTCATCTCTAGGTAGCAGGGGAGGATCAGGTCTTGTTTCATCCAGATATTCTATTATGCTCAGCTGTAAAATTGAACAAGATACATTTTTCAATACAGAAACAATGTAATTATTAATAACTGATCAAACTTTCTGTTGTTCCTTGTGTTTCTACTTTTGAATTAACCTTTTCATGTCACCTAGCTACCTCTTCAAATTATACTCCAACTTAGAGAACTTATTACAGTGTTTGCTACTTCCACAAATAGTTGTTTGCATGAATACAATATATTGACAAATTTAGGGAAGGAAATGGAGAGATGATTTGAAATCAAGCATCTCCAGATTTTTTAAATTTCAGAAGTTGGAAATTCTGACAATTTAAGTTTAATGTATTCTTAGTTACTACTGACAGTAACCTAATTTTTGTTTTTGTTCATCTATATCTAACAACTATCAGGATCTCCGGTGTATACCCGCCAAACTACTGGAAAGGAGGTTGATTAGAATGGACTGATCTCATCTTAGAGAAGTGGCCATATTCCTAATGATTCCCCCCCCCCTAACTGAGATGCTAGTCCATGAAAGTTGTCCCACTCCCTCCCTCCCTCCCCCATCAGAATTTCATCAGGCTTCCTTCACAGATTGCTGGTACCCAAACACAAGGATTCCCAACTTACTGAGTCAGCAAGGGTGTGTCCATCTATAACCAAAGCAGGAACATAGCCCATGGGATTTAACTTTTTAAACTCATCTGAAAACTTAGAAAAGAAAATTCATAATCTTAGTGCAAATGTCCAATAACAAAGTTAACCTTATGTAAGGTTACTCTATAGTATTGCTCATCATTTTAATGCATCTAAATTTGCTGCATCAGTTGCACAGTCAAGTAAGACTCAAATGGCAGCCTTTTTCCTGTATCTGAAGCTGCCACGCAAATACATAAACTATCATATGCTAACTTTTTAATGAATGGTTACTTAACAGTTTCTTTTACTGTAAGTTTTTAGTTCATTAATCAAGCATTTCAGAGTAATATCCAATATGTGATAAGAAAGAGCTGCAGTGATGAACTTATATCAAACAACCACTATCAATGATAAATTTAAGGATTAAAATAATTCATTAAGGAACTACCAGGTACTACAAATTACATTTCATAAGGGTGCTACTACTCCTAATTTACCTTTTTGACAAAAACCTCTCATTGATATTTTTGTTTTAAAGAAATATCATCACCAACAGACTCATTCTAAGGTTAATACAATGTGTCCAATTACTTGAGCACTCTGCTTTGATATCTTAACAAAAAGCATAGCATTTAATATCATGTCATGTTTCTACCTCAATTGTAACAATTGTGAACAATCAAAATTAATAGGCCAATAATGGAAATTTGCAAAAACTGTGATAATATCAGTAGGACAATTTTCCATTAATTTCTGAGGACAGTAATTTATTTACAGCAAACTGACCTGCTGGCCTCCATCTTTCAGCAAGTGAACAGCATGTGTGTCATATTCAATTCCCTTTAATGCAAGAGCTAAAAATACATAGCATCCCTGAGGTTAACATTTCAGCCTTGTATTATTCACATAATCATAAAAATAGGCAGTTAGCATCTATTATACAACATTTTAAGTTGAATGCCTGGCCCATGATTCATTTTAGGCCCCTCAGTCATTTTTAATTTCTTTTAATTTGTTAAAACATCGCTGAAACTAAACTCGTTCCATTTTATCCCATGAAATAAATTAAAAACAAAATCCACTAATGTTTAGATTCAAACTTCTTGAGCTTGTGCCTGAAAGATTTGCAAAATTTTATTACAGGGCTGTGGTCTAGCAGTGCCCAGTGGCCCCTTATGTTTTCTCTTGGGTGATTCAGGAATCTTATTTTTTTCATAAAAAGCTTATGTTGGGCACCCTGGATTTCACAGTTTCAGAGTACTGGGCTACCAGCTTTCATATTTAGCAAATAAGTTCTGGATGTAACATTTCTATCTTGGAAATTACATGTTTAACACTCAATAAAACCATAGATGATCATGCTTCAAACTATTTCACTGCATGATGCTCCAAATATTAACCTTGACCAAACCCAGTTCTATCTCCTCACATAGCTGTCAGCTAGAGGATATCAGATAAGCCGTCTGAAAAACACTGTTGTCATAACATACCAGTTCTGACCCTCCAAGAGCAAGAACTTCGGAAATAGGAATATAACACTGGCTGAAAAGTGAAATAACATGCATCAGATAAGAAAGAATCATTGTTAAAAACAATGTGAACATTTTCTTTACAAGTTAAAGAGTCTGTGGTACAACAGAAATCAAATAAACAGACATCCAAAAAGTAAATATCAAACTAACAACAACACAAAAAAACAACGACGACCCAAAGACACACGTAAACACGAGTTAAAAATGAATAGGCCATCCCCTGGCTGTTCACACCTCAACCCAACCCCTCAGATTTGACCTAAGCTGATTAATGTCCTTTCAATAGGCTTACTTTAAAATTCAGTTTTAATCTTTTTTTTTTCTAAAGCTGCCTTTAACAAACATACATGTGTATAATCATAGAGAAAAGGTCTATTACATTAATTTTGTCTCTCTTGAACCATTCAACAGGGGTGTGAAGGAGAAAAAGGAAATTTTGTAAATAGAACCGACAAAATCGAGGCACACTAAATGCAAATTTAACTAAAAAAGGAACAGGTCGGCGGTAGTTCTTTGATATAAGGTTAAAAAGCAAATGTGTACACCTAACTGAAAATGTTTACGCCAAAAAAACTGTCGCGATTCAAAATTTAGACTCCCCCTGTAGGTGGGTCGCGTTCAAAGCGAGAATGTTACAATCGAGTTTTTGAATAAAAACAGAAAGTAATGGCCTCGACACTAGTGGAACTTAACCATGAGTTACTTTTCCTACTTTCTCAAAGGAACCCAGGACGTCGTTTCCGTCGTGTGAAGGTTAAAAAACATTCCAATCAAGGCGCACTTACTTTTGTCATGTCTACCGATCGCCAAATATACATGAATTGCTCCAGGCGCTCCAGACGTTAGAAACCAGTCTTTTTACGGTCTCTATAAGCAGTACTTTCTTAATCGGCGGAAAATTGGTCAACTAAATCCAGAGAGATGGAGGTCGGACGTGAGTTTATTGCCGGTTGGTGCGCAGGTAAATCATGAAAAAATACATCATTTTAATCAAACCCACTTTGAATAGATTGAAGGGTCGAACAGATCCCAGAAAAGTAGTACTTTGGTGGTGTTGTTATTATTCAGCGTGGCGTGATAATATATCATATGCACAGTTACGTAAGTCAATGAAATCTCTTTGTTGGCACTTGCTTTGTATTTGAAGCGATATTTTCGTGCGTTTTCCAATCGATATTTGCATTTGAGTCTGAAATAATCAACCTGAACGCCTTGCAATCATTCCCTGGCAATCCTTTGAGCATTAAAATTGAAGATTTGGCGGATGATAATTGGATGCATTTAGCACGCGGCCAATCTCATGAAATTTCATAGCTTTGACGTAGTTAACTGTGATCACGCTAATACTAGTACTTAATAAAGAGATGACGAAGNTCTACTGACAACAATCATTCACTTGACTCTGATGATGACTTCCGCACAGGTTGTCGAAACGTCAGTCACTACCACCGACAACAGTCCTTCTCAGGACTACACTCACCCGGACGATCAGACTACACCTTCACATGTTTGAAAGCGATCTGTAATGACCAAATATCCACTTAAATGGTTTCTCAAGTGCCTCTGACCTCGTCACTCGAGGTGAATGCCCGAATCAAAGGAGTTATAAACAAAGACAATTCAACTGCAAGCTGTTGACCAAACGATATTTCGTTTAAAAAATGGCATTCCCGAGTGACTGAGGTCATGTGACCCAAAGGCGGGGAAACAAAACATGGAACCCAGCTAACACGATCCTCGCAGTAATGAACTCTACTTAATATGTAGTTTAAGGCCTTATTTCCACTGTTTCACACTGTACTCGAGTAGGGTTCAGTACTGCGACGATCGCTTTCATACATTTTAAAGAGGAACTTATTAATAATGAAGCATACGATGGAGCGCAACGCCAGAAATCTTTATCATGGGCATCGTTCTGCTATACATATAGAAAGCGACTTGTCTACCTTAATACCCTTCTATTTTTTTTCTATGGTTTTTTTTCTTAACTGTAGGATGCACTGGAGTAATTGTCACACAACCATTGGATACTGTGAAGGTGAGCAGTTAGAATAATTCTTCAACCTTGGGTCCAGGTTCAACATTCTCAAGAAGCGATCCAGAGCATTCGATTCAAAAATTGATTTCTTTCAAACTTTGCCCATGCATCAGTCTTAATCTAAAAGTGATCGAAGCCACCTTGGTTTTTCGCAATATCGTGAAATAATTTTTTTTTGTTTGTTTTCCGAGCGAAAATAGCTTCAGCGCTGAAACACCCGTTCAATATTCTCAAGACTAATAATGACCAAACGATATTTCGGTTAAAAAAAGGGCATTCCCGAGTGACTGAGGTCATGTGAGCCAAAGGCGGGAAAACAAAACAGGGAACCCATCTAACACGATCCTCGCAGTAATGAACTCTACTTAATATGTAGTTTCAGGCCTTATTTCCACTGTTAATATTTCCTATTAATATTTCCCTGTTAAAGATAAATTAAATAAGATTCTTGCAGGTTGTTGATAGTGATGTCATCTATTCGGCTGTCTTCCATTAAATCATAAGTAAGAACCAATCAAAATGCGCGTAGGATTGAATTTGTCATTTAAAACCTTGTTGACTATGGTTCTCGACCAATGAGCTCGCGAGAGCGTTTCTACAGTTATTTCAAAATATATAATTGACCTCATGTCATACACAGGTCAGAATGCAAGTTCTCTCTTCAGGAAGTAAACCAGCCGCCACCACATCGTTGTCCTGTTTTTACAATATCATCAAACACGAAACGGTGAGAGCTTCGTAGAATATTCTTTTGTGGTATTTTCTCGGCTTTGTTTAGTAGAGCAATCAAAGCGCTTTAGTAGCAGAGTGAAAACTTAGAGAGGTCTAGGTCAGGGTCGCGTAAAGTTCTCTATGCCACCCGACCCAAACCTACCTCGTTTTCGCTCTGCCGCTTCTATCGTGTCGTTCTTTAGAGAGTGTTTCCTTACTAGGAACTGGTCAGCTCAGACGACCACCGCAAACCGTATAATATTATCCAAGGTTTAATAATTATTAGATCTAAAAGAAATACATGTAATCCCAAATCAGAAAAACGTAAATAAAGTTTTAATCTCAAAGCAGAATTCAAGAAAAACGTGATTGGAAACTTACTTCTGTGGCGGGTCGTAAAAACAGGTTTCTCTCTTCAGGTTAGCCAATTCGGGTAAGCGAACAGCGACTTCTCTCTCTTATTGATTCTTCTGAAAACTGGTTTAAAGCATGATAAGCTAACACTGTACGGAATTAATGTCAATCACGAATCTTGTAATCAAATATATCTGTCATCGAAAGGCAACGCCTATTTATTAAACAAAACAGAGATTTACACCGAATTTGAGTGAAAAGTCAATCGTCAGCTTACCCTTTCACATTTCACGTAAAATAGCGTGAACGTTGCTGCTTTAGCTTAGCGCGAGCTCACGTCATCGTGGATTTGAAGGCGCCCTTGTATGGCTTACCAGGAATAGTTTTGGTGCCCATTTTCCGGCATTTAACTTATTCTGTATGAGAGAAAAATGGAAGAAAATCTTACGTACACAACAAACACGAAACAGGTTACTTTCACATACAAAACGGCAAAGCCCAACCGGCGTACGTAAAAAAAAAAATGGCGGGAAAATCAAGGTCACGGGATCATTCTTGCCGCTCACGTTTCACGTAAAGCGCAGTGCCAAATCCCTCTACCATTTGCTCCGTTTTACGAGTGACGTGTCAGCAGCTGTTGTATTAGTAAGTAGATTAGGGACCTTCTGATTAGGTTGACGAGAGCTGAATACAACTCGGCGGTTTTATTGTGACTGTATATCTATCACTTTTGTGTAACAAACCCTACAGCAGCTGATCGGTGATATCCAATACACATAAAAAAAAAAAATTATCGTAATTTTTACCCATGTGCAGTCGGCGCCCTTTCTCAGGGCTGGTAATGTTTGTAAAACGCCGCACTTTGTATGATTAAGTGTCTTACTTAAAGACGTACTCATTGGCATTGCTCTAGTGACTGCTTTATATCTTTTATTTCTGATTACGTCTAAGAAAATACGTTTTTTTTCTCTTCCCTTTCTACTTTCTTACACTTATCTTGATCCATGTTAGATCTTCGGTTTGTTTAAAGGCATGGCACCTCCTCTTGCAGCCGTCGCCCTACAGAACGCCATTTTGTTCGGAGTGTATGGTAATGTGCTGAAAATGTTCTCATCCAAGAATGGCGACAAGCCTGCCCTGTCTCACGTCTGTTTTGCCGCGGCTGCCTCAGGAGCCGCTCAGCTCTGGGTGGTGGGTCCTATGGAACTTATCAAGATCAAACTACAGTTGCAAACCGAAGGTACAAGCTGCTTGAGTTATTTTTAAATCGTTGCCGAAGTAATTGTAACAGTTTTGCTTAAGCTCGCCTGTTGTTAAGTAGTAGAGGATGACCGCTTAGTAGAGGTGATTAAGTGAAACACATTCGGGACTTTGACAAATGACCGCTTAAGTACAGGGTGACCGCATAATCACAATGAGAAGTCACATGATAATCACTTCTAGGAGTAAAGGGGTAGGACTGAACAGAGGTTTCATACAATTTATTAGATTCGACAGGCAGGGACACCGCAACAGCTTGCGCCAATTACTGCGAGCCCAGTAAACCCACCCATCCCACCCCATGGGAGGACATCCACCACACATTAATCTCGTGCGTGGGAAATTAACGTCTCCTACCCCTAACCCTGCAGGAGACGGGACCTACGGTTTATTCGTCCTTATCCGAAAAGACTAGAATATCTATCCATTTTTTATCATAGAAAGGTAGCAAATTCTCCTCAGTTATTTTAAGACCCTGAGTGTTGGTCCGGCCGGGGCTTGAACCCTCGACCTCCCGCACAACAGTCCGGCGTTCTACCAATTGAGCCAACCAGTAGGCGGTTCAACTCAGTAATTCAGGCAGTTTGCTAATATTGATTAACTTAACAAGGTAACTCATGCTTTTGCCGTTGTTTTAAAATTATGGCGAGCGTCTTACTGCTATTGTTCCGTCAGGAAAGCATAGCAAATCTTCACACTATCGCGGAGCCATGGATTGCATCCGAAAGATTTACAAGACGGCTGGTAGCAGGGGGCTTTTCCAAGGAGCTACACCTCTTATTTTCCGGGATATCCCGGGGTTTGTCGTGTACTTTGCATCATACGAGATCCTTTTGGATGCGCTCTCTCAAAGAAAGTCTACTACTGACACGCAACCCCTAGTTACGATGCTTGCGGGCGGCCTTGCTGGAATGATTGGCTGGTTCTCCACTTTTCCGTTTGACGGCATTAAGACCCGTATGCAGGCAGATGGGAATAAAGGACTTTTTACCTACAAAGGAACTGTAGATTGCTTCCTTCAAACCTACAGGGCAGGTGGCGTAAAAAGTTTATTCGCGGGCGTAGGACCCTGCTTACTACGAGCATTTCCGCACAACGCAGTTGTTTTCGTCGTGTACAACTTGGTCTCAAAGTGGTTAGGGAACTGCATCTCTCCAGTCGATAATGGCTATAACTTGAAAGTGGATTGATCCGAGCCAAAGAGAACGCGTAGTTCTTCTAAATTAAGTGAACTCGAAATTGGAGACTCTGTATAACTATCATTATTTATTTCTCTTTCAAAAGATTTATTCTAGATACTATTATTTTTCCAAGGGTTTCTATATTTGAGAATATATTTGAATAAAGATGTATATTGCATGTGAATTATATTTTTTTAATCTATTTATTGTGTTTATACTGAATTAATTTCCCAACTATGTTCTACGAAATCAATTTTATAGCTATGCTACTCAAGTTATTCTTTCCATATTTGTGATATATTATTCTCTTAAGTCTTTTCTAGTTTACGATGTCTGTTTCTTGATATATTATTCTCTTAAGTCTTTTCTAGTTTACGATGTCTGTTTCTTAATTACCTTTCGAGTACTCATTTACGTACTAAGCTTAGAACTAAAGGCGGCAACTGTCTCGCTTGCGCCAACATCTGCTGCTTCGTCAATTCAGCCGCATCTCTCGCTGCGGCAGGGTCCACGACGCACCCGCCGAGACTAGCTCCCCCGTCGGCAGTTAATCACAGGACTCATATGATTTTCCAGGACACATAGATCAGTAAGTTGGCCATTTACAGCTTCAATCGCGCCATTTAGAACAGCCAACGCTTGTTGAGAGCCTCTTTTAGAAGTCACGTTAGTGTCTGCAACAGCGACGTATCTACTTGCACCAAAGCCCATCTCAGTTCCCAGATTACCACCGATGTTGATTTCTTCGTCCACTTTTTGTGTAGGAGCGAAAATTTGCAGCTTTTCCTCCTCGCCAACAGAAGCTTTCACATCACTTCGCTGGTCAGTGATGTTAGCATCGACATCTTGAAGGCGATCGCCTTTTTGAGCATGGAGTGTAATCGATCTTGCTTCACAAAGCCTGTTGGTGTAAATGAAGGATAATCGGTGTTAGTGGCGTTGATAACCCAATTTGGCGATTTAGGATTCTCTGTAATGCACGTCTGATTTTTCCACCCATATCTACTGAGTCAGAGCGAATGTTCACCAGGGTAAGTACTGCTTTCTCGCCAGAACTGTCACCAATCTGAAGTGGCTGCTTGACGAAAACGGAACCGTCTAGGAGCTTCCTACCGCCATAAGGTGTGCTCTCAGCGATAATGTTCAGTTCGCTAATGAGAGCTCTTGGATTGAAACTCGATCAGAATTGGAAGAAGTACTGTTCGAAGATCCTAACGCCAAGTCACGCTTGCGTTGAAGGACGTTTGAAACGTGGTCCATTTGCACCTTCAGCATTCCTTATCAGCGAAATAAGGTCGTTGGCGTTGTTCCACGCCACGTCCAGAGTGCAACGGTGAGCCTCCCCACCATTTCGGCTCTTTTACAAGTATGTCACTAAATTAGCCTTGCGGGTCCTTTGATCCCGACTGTTATTTCTCGCATGCGTTATGCGTATTTACTCCAGGCAACCTCATTCTCAGGGATTTTGTTAATGACTGAGAAGCCCCTGGGGACGAGATTGGTCTAAGACGTCAACATCATATACTGTTGTTGTGTGACGTCTATGACGTCAACGTGACCTGTTTTTTTCGTGAGGTTTAGGCGGAGGAATATAGAAAGGGTTTGCAAGCCATGCTCAAACAGCTTTAACAGTGAGCAGCTGGCCTTGGTCGAAGGTAGAAATAAGTAGATTGGATCCCCTTTTTCGGGGTCTAACCTGCTCATTAAATCGGAAGAGTCTCTTAAGTCGCGACAGCTTTTCAAGCTTTATGCCCTCCGCATTTATCACTTTCCGCTTTGTACAGCTTTGCACCATAATGTTTAAATTGGTTTGTGGTCGTTTGCCACTAATTGAGTGCAGCCGTGAAATTAGAATAATTTTTTTTGTTTTTCCGTTCAGACTGAGGAAATTGAATTATAAGTAAGAAGCGATCATGATAGACTTGAGCCAAAACACAAGTTTAAGTCACTTATTCTTAAGCCAGAACATACGGTCCTATTCGTATGAACTTACTTGCCTTTTTTATTGGATGGCAAATAGAAAAACTTAAGAAAACCTCGATACGTTTTCCAAAAGGCATTCAGCTGTGGGAGATGACAGTTTGATAGTTCTGAATTTAGTTTCAAACCTCCCAGGCTGCAGAAACATGTTTGCATTGTCTGCGTGTCTCAGCCAAACAGGAAGGGAGCTGAGCACTAACTGCGTTGTATCATATGCCAACAGAAATTGTCTTTATCACTTCCAGTAAGGGGCTGACCATTTAACATTTGAGGGGGGGTGGGTGATTTTGAAAAAAAATTCCTGCAAGCGCTTGTTGGAAAAAAAAATTGCATGCAGCCCAAATGTAACAGAAAAAATGTACCAAAAAATCGGAAAAAAAATATCCTGCAGAGCAGATTGCTAGAAAAAAAATTTCTTGATGACCAGAAATCACCCACCCCCCCCAAAAGTTAAATGGTCGGCCCCTTAGCTCCTTTTGTTCGTCTACCAGGCACCTAAGAAGGGACCTCTCTTTTTATAGCGCGCCTTCGTGTTTAATAAACTGAGTCCAAATGACCTTTTTGCAAAGCCCTCCACCTGTATTCATTCATTCATTCTTTTATTCACACTTATTCTACTAAAAATATAACAACGAGATAGAGAAAAAGTAGAAAACAAAAGAAGAGAGTTCTAACTATACATGAATTTACACAAAGCAGTGGAAAGAGTGTGTAGTAGCCAAAGAAGCCAAGCTTTCGAGTTGGCCACTACACTGTAGCCCCTCAAATGTCAATTATAGCATAAAATGCCGTTTCTATGTTCCTTTTTATCCCCATCCGCGTAACCTGGGTTTAAATGGGTTTGTTGTGATTTCAACAAAGTTGGCTTTGTTTTCCGGTTCTCCAAATGAAAGGGTCCTTCTCGAAAGCGAAATTTTTGTGCTAAATAATAGAACGATCTTTTATTGACCAAGCAAGTTCGGTCTCGACGGCTGGATCATAGATTCAAGTAGTTCAAATGCTGAGACAGATGCAGACTTTGGGAATAGTGAATGCTGATTTACTGTCAGTAATAAAAGCCATTAAAGCCAGTACAAATCTCTGATAACGGTTCTTGCTATATTAGTTGACAAGCAAGCGTTTTTTTAAAAGTTATTACTATGTATAATTAATTGCGTTTTTTAAGTTCGTGTACCGAATAACTAAGTCACTTTTAACAATCTTTACTGGTTAGGTATTATGATGAAGAAAAGGGAGGCTGTTTGAACTGTTCAAGATGCTGTGGTGATCATGCAGATTTGGTGGTAGCTGAGTGCAGAGAGAAGTTGGGAGCTGGCTCAAGTATGATCTGTTCATTCAACAGTAGTGTAAACCGCTGTTACAAAACATCTCAGCCAACGCACACTACCATCCAAAACAGCCTGACCCAGCCGACACC